AGCAACGAAGCGGCATACGCTCGCTGGGACGTGGGAGGCAGGCCGCACCGTTTGTGCTGGTCGGCCCTCACTCACTCACTCACTCTCTTCCATGCATTCATGCACTTCATTCACTCATTGAATTCATTATTCTAATCGTTCATTCATTTCATTCATTGATTTCATTCATTCATTCCATTTCATTCATTTCATGCATTCATCCAATCAGTCAGTCATTCATTCAATCATTCCGTTCATTCATTCCATTCATTCTTTCCTTCCTTCCTTCAGTCATTCATTCATTCATTCACTCAGTCACTCATTCATTCATTCATTCATTCACTCAGTCACTCAGTCATTCATTCAGTCATTCATTCATGCATTCAGTCATTCAGCCATTCAGCCATTCAGTCATTCAGTCATTCGGTCATTCAGTCATGCATTCCTTCATTCCGTCATTCCTTCATTCATTTTCATTCATGCATTCATTCATTCATTCATTCATTCATTCATTCATTTCATTCATTCATTCATTCATTCATTTCATTCATTCATTCATCATTCAATCATTCGTTCATTCATTCGTTCATTCTTTCATTCATTCTGCCTTCATCCATTCGTGCCATTCATGCAGTCCATTCATTCATTCCAATCATTCGTTCCAGTCATTCCTTCCTTCCTTCCTTCCTTCCTTCCATCCCATCCCTCCGTCCATCCATCATTCATTCATTCGTTCATTCATTCATTCGTTGCATTCATTCCAATTTATTTCGTTTCGTTTCATTCATTTCATTCATTCAATCATTTCATTCATCTCGTTCATTTCGTTCATTTCATTCATTTCGTTCATTTCATTCATTTCATTCATTTCATGCATGGCATTCATTTCATTCATTTCGTTCATTGCATTAATTTCATTCATTTGATTCATTTCATTCATTTCATTCATTTCATTCGTTTCATTCGTTTCACTCGCTTCATGCCTTTTATTTCATTCATTTCATTCATTCCATTCACTCCATTCATTTCCTTCCGTTCATCCCATTCATTCCATTCATTCCATTCATTTCATTCATTTCATTCATTTCATTCATTTCATTCATTTCATTCATTTCATTCATTTCATTCGTTTCATTCGTTTCATTCATTCCATTCATTCCATTCATTCCATTCACTCCATTCATTTCCTTCCGTTCATCCCATTCATTCCATTCATTCCATTCATTTCATTCATTGCATTCATTTCATTCATTTCATTCATTTCA